GCGTGACGACTCGTGGACGGAAACGCGTCGAGGATACTCTGCGCGTAAACGGAGAAGCGTGTGTGTACGCGAATGGTCGTGACAGATTCCGCTGCTGCTGCTACAATTGCGTACAGTGCGTGGTGAAAGTGTTCGTGTTAACGTGTGCATCAGGAGGAGGTCGAGGTCGTGTCAGGTAGTCGAGAGTAGTCGACGACGAAATTTCGAGGAATCCTCGACACACCGGGTGCTCGAGGTCGAATGATTACCTTTCGGTGGTGCGATCTCTCGTGACCCTGAGGGGAGACATCGGTTAATTGGAGACCGCTCGCTGCTGATCACCAATAGGAGGCGGATCGTAGAAGGAAGAAAGAAAGAGGTGACACCGAGGAATCGACCGTAGTGGAGGTTGAGGGCTACTTGAAGCGGCTCTGTTGAGAGGACAGACGGAGAAAGTGTGTCACCGACGTGGTACGAGGCGCCTCGAGGTGCCTTAGGTTAGGTCGCTGCTAGAATCCCTTGACGCGAGGCGACGATAGAATAACAAACCCGCGAGCAGACGTCGCGTTAATTATTTGCGAATTGAAGTTGCTTCCTCGGGCTGAAGTGATGCTCAAAGAAGCGAGAAGGAAGGGATCGTTGACACGATAACGAAAATAATTGAAACTTTTCGCCGAAGTCGAGTCCGCTCTCTCGGAGAGGTATTTCGAATTGAGTAAAAATTTTTGAAGAAAAGAAAGAATCGTCAAAACCTAGTCAAACGTAATCAACGGATACAACGAAAGAAAGTCATCGCACAACGTTGGCAATAATCTCGAGAGCTTTGTACCCAGAACGAACATGATCTCGGTGAGAAAATACCGACTGTGCATCGATTCGGCCGATCAAAATCTCGTCAACAAAGTTTCATTGATCTGATTACTGGGTGAAAAGTGAATTCATTAAACGCAATCTAGTGTCGATTTGCGTACGTATATATACACACACGAGTGGCCCGGAAAAAAATCGTCAGAGTCGAATTGTGCATAACGTGATTGTGAAGTGATACTCTCTGGTACGAGGCAGAGTCCGGTTCGTTACACCGGTTCCCAAGTGTAACTCGAACGTGTGTAACGCGAGTTAAGGGAAGAATCTGGTGGTAAGGTGTTCCAAGCGTGTTCCGTGTCGTCGATCACCCCCTCCCGATCCCTATAATTTCTAATTGGCAAGGTAAACGACTGTAAGATCGCATACATATCCAGTTACACTGCCGTTTGCCAAGCGAAACGAATTGAACTTGCTCAATTTTATTTCTTTAACGATATTCCTCGAAAGTCGAAAAGAAAAAAAGAAAAAAAAAAGATAAAAAGAATAATTTCACTCGTTCGAGTTTTCGTCCGATCGGCCATCTGCGTCGCTGAATTCCATATTATCGGCAATCGCCGAGGAGACAAGAGACAAACGAACGAAGCGAACGAAGAAACGTACCGTGGCGAAGCGCGCGAGACGGACGAGCGTCCGGGGAAAAGACTCGTCGAGCGATTCCGCACGGACGTGTGCACGGTCACTCTCTCTTTCCGTATTCGCCACCCACGCACGCAGCCAAGACCGTCCGCGCGTGCGTGCTCACGTGCGATCGCAGCCGGTGCAACGTGGCCAGCGAACGGGTACACAAGGCAGCGAGCTACGCTGATCGAACGCTGCCTCGACCACCTTAGATAGAACCTTGTCCCTTGTCGATCTTGCGATCCGTCTGTCTGTTTGCAAATGTCAAACCACCGTCGTTGATCCATCCTCCATCCAACGACGTATGATTCATCCTCCGGTGTAATGTGACGAAGAAAGAAACGAAAAGCCGACTGGACTTGTTTCGTTCAAGTTCGAGTATCCTCGACAACGTGCACAAACAGCTGGACAAACGAGTGGCTTGCTCGATCTCCTCTTGATGAACAGGATCTAGCAGTGATCGATCTTAGCCTACGACCACCGCCTACAACAACCATGCATTCCTCGCTCTTGGCCAGCAACGTAGGCGCGCTGCTGCCATTTCTGGTGGTGCTGCTCGGCCAAGTGGCCATGTCGTTCGTGTTGGAAGGTTCGGCGACTAGTTACGCGCAGTTCAGAAAATGGAACGCCGGGCTGAACGGCACGCTGGAGTTCGAGTTCAAGACCGAGCAGGGCAACGGTCTGCTTCTCTACACCGACGACGGTGGCACCTACGACTTCTTCGAGGTGAAGCTGGTCGAGAGCGCGCTCCGACTGAGATACAACCTCGGCGGCGGTGCGCAGATCGTCACCGTCGGCCACGACCTCGGCGACGGCCACTGGCACAAGGTGCAGATCACCAGGTGCAACGAGAACACAACGTTGACGGTGGACGGAGTCAGCGCGGTATCCACGTCGCGCGGCAAGGAGTTCGAGTTTGGCAAACTGTCAGGCAACTCCGACGTTTACGTGGGCGGTATGCCTAGCTGGTACAACAGCAAGCTGACGTTGCTGGCGTTGCCGAGCGTGATCTTCGAGCCGAGGTTCAACGGGTTCATCAGGAACCTGGTGTACGCCGACGGGGAGAACACGGTGCCCAGAAGGCAGGAGATGAAGAGCCGAGACGCCAAGGTAAATGAGTTTCCTTTGTCGCAAGGCCAGGTATAATAATGAACTGCGCGATTGTAACGCGACGCAGGATATATTTACTTGCGCGTAGGACGTATGAAAGGCTATGATAGGTATGAATGAGCTCGGCGGGTCACGAGCGTAGGAATAGAATGAAATTCACAAAGGATGAACGTCGCACCACGGTGATATCGAACGTTGAACTACCCCCTTGGTTTATAAATATTTGTTACGTAACGAGGCGATGCGACGTTGTAAAAAAATGAAGTTACTCAGGTATGTATATACCTGCTGTTACTTGTATCATTGATAAATTTTTCAGATAACAAAGAATTTAAAATAAACGATTTGGATAATAATTGTTTCTCGACGTATATCTGCATTGGTGCCACATACAAAATACTTTCAACTTCTTATAGTTATATAATATTTCTAACGTTCAGAGAATAAACATTGATTTCATCAATGCGGCGCGGTGCCCCTTAAATGTTTAAGCTAGAAATATTTCCGATCTTCTGACTTTCATCGGAAATTTGATTTCGCGCGTTAGAATAGGAGTAAAGGATCGTGTTTTACACGTTATTGTCTTGGGAATTTGACAGACCCATCGCTCAAATATTACGTTGAAAATAGTAGAAAAACGACGGATCGATAGGCAGGATAGAGAGGATAAAGTGGTGCAATGATTCCCTTAATGGCCAGTTTATTTTTAGCTTGTTTTAAGTATTTGTGATTTCGGCGAGGGAAAAGGTTTTCGTTTCGGGGTCTTCGATCCGTGACGTGTCAGAAAAATGTCTTGGATTATCCTGACACGAGTTTCGTTTGCTTTTAGGAAGTATTAGAAAGTACAAATTCTTCTAATATCTCATGTGTGGGTATAATTTGAAAGATACATACCGCGAAGGGTTTAAACGACTCGAACTAAAGTATTTTATTTGTATGAATGAATACAAGGATGCTCGTAATTTTATATTTTTCTACAGTCTCTCGAGAGATATGAATTAATTTAAATTATAACTGTATTCTGTAACGTGTCAAAAAACTCTACTGTAGCATTTTCAGAAACATTGTAAGCAGGGAATATCTAGAGATTAATTTCCAGATGACAGCGTCTCTTGAAAATATATTTAGTTGACCATGATAGATTTAACTGCAGAAAGATAATCCAACATTGTCTTTCTTTCTGCTAGAGTGCCTTTTGTCAGTGTATTTTACATTTTATATAAAAGTATATTTTGCTTTTATTTTATATAAGATAGAAGTTAATCTTTTTTTCAAACTGCGGTTTTTAAAATATATGTTTATAAGAATGAGCAACATATTGTTTATGATTTTATGAGAAGTTGAAACAAACGTCCAATTTGACGTGATTTCAAATCTACGACATATTACGAAATATTATATTCTGGATATTTTGTACAACTTTTCGTCACAGTTTTTCTTGTCCTCGTATTCTAACTACAATATAACATCTGAAATTATGTTTCTCGAAAACTGAACTGGAGTAACAAGTAAAATCTCATTCTACACATCTTATTTACAATCTTCGTAAGGAATCATCTCTCTGTACTATAATTTAATATATGTTAACCACGTTACCTCAAAATATAACAATACCACTTTATTTTAGTATACCGAATATTCGCTTGAGTATTATTAACATAAGAATCTCCTTAGAGATACGATTCATTCCGTTGTGCATACCCCCATAACTACACAATGGATAAATCCAATTAAATCATAACTACACAATGGATAAATCCATCGCTGATGCGTACTCGACGAAAAAATTTCATAACTCATATCCGCACGATATCCACGTTGCGCGCAAGAATTCCTCGCGTCCGTGTTAATCTGGGCCAACCATCGCATAGACGTATTGTTACGCATGCCGCTGACACCATTTCGGTGCTTCATAATGCGAGGTTCGTTTCAAAAAAAAAAAAAAAAAAAA